AAAAACACTGATCCCACAGGAAATATTACAAAGAACCAACAAATAAGATCTCATCTTATTATAGAGCTTTTGCACAACAAAAGAAATCATTAACAGAGTAAAGAGACAACGGAGTGTGAAAAAATTTTAGCCAATTTTTCCTGAGACAAAAGACTGATATCTAGGACATACAAAGAGGGCTGGAGAGATGGCTCAGTGGTCTAAAGCACCTACTTGAAACAAGCTTGGCAAAGCACAGGGACCGCGGTTCGATCCCCAGCACCACATGCCAGCCAGCCGCGCCCTCTGGTGGGCTGAGCTGGCCACACACACACACACACACACACACACACACACAATAAATAAATGTAATAAATAAAAATAAATAAATATTTAGAACATACAAAGGACTGAAAAAAGTCAGACTCCCCAAATTGAAAGATCCAGTCTGAAAATGGGTGTCTAAGATGAATACACACTTCTGAGTACAAACAGCCAGTAAATATATGAAAAAATGTTCAACAGCACTGGTCATCCAAGACACGCAAATTAAAACAACACTGAGATTCCATCTCACCCCAGAAAAAATGGCCATTATCAAGAAATCAACCAATAACAAATGCTGGTGGAGCTCTGGGAAAAGGGACCCCTTCTCCCCAGTTGGTGGGAGTGCAGATTGATGCAACCACTGTGGAAATCAGTATGGATATTCCTCAAATACTAGGACTAGAGGTCCCCTTTGACCCAGCTATTCCCTTTCTCCTCAAAATAATTGTAAGCATCATATCATAGCGATATATGCCCTCCCATGTTTACAGCAGCACAGTTTGTAATTGCAAAATCTTGGAAACAGCCCAAATGTCCATGAGCTGATGAATGGATAAAAAAAACTGTGGGTTTATTTTTACAATGGATTGCAACTCAGCCATAAGGAAAAGTCACCTAGAGACATCCCTAGCTAAATGGATGCATCTTGAGAACATACTCTTACATGAGATATGTGGGACACGTGTGTAAATATTGCATGGTCTCTCTGGTGTGAGAAACTGAAAGTGTAAATAAGAACCAGAATGCGTAATGGAAATTGTGAAATAGGATGAAATTTTTCTTTTTAAAAATTATTTATTGGAGCTGGTGAGATGGCTCAGTGGTCTAAAGCACCTACTTGGAACAAGCTTGGGAAAGCACAGGGACCACGGTTCGATCCCCCAGCACCACATGCCAGCCAGCCCCGCCCCCTGGCAGGCTGAGCTGGCCACACACACACACACACACACACACACAATAAATAAATAAATGTTTAAAAAAATTATTTATTATAATAAGTATTTTATTACTTGTAAAGTTGCCTTTGTTGACAAAGAGCAAGATTTCTGCACATATTATGTCCTTGACTTAGGTATAAAAGAGACAAAGATGATGGTTGGAGGCAAGGTTAGCTACTTAATTTGTTCACAGATGAATAACAAAGACATAAGGACATTATTAGAAAATGTGATAAATAGAAGTATGTCCCATACTGCATTAGTAGCATGCTAACAGGAATGATGGCTTGTCTGACGAATTTGTAATATTATACAAAATATTAACATTAAGATACTTAATATGTTTACTACAACAATGAAGTAGTTTACAGTTCTGCCATAAGACTAACAATACCTCAATTTTAAAATTATTTATTTATTACATTTTTATTTAGTGTGTGTATGTGTGTGGCCAGCTCAGCCCACCAGGGGGCGGGGCTGGCTGGCATGTGGTGCTGGGGGATCGAACCGCGGCCCCTGTGCTTTGCCAAGCTTGTTCCAAGTAGGTGCTTTAGACCACTGAGCCATCTCTCCAGCCCCAATACCTCAATTTTAATAGCTCTAAACAGACGTATTTCTTACTTCAATATTTATATTTTTCATCACACAAATCAAGTATGATCAAGGAAAATTTACTTACATTTTTTATACTTTTTAAAAAATTTAAAGAGAGTATCGTAATAACTGGTATGACATTAGAAATGGTACACATTTAGAAAACCAAGATGACAGGTATTCAAGCAGGATGAAATTTTTTAAAAGGAAAGGAGAACTAGAGAGGGATGAGGAAAGGAAGGAAGGAAAAAAAAAAGGATGAGAAAAGAAGGACACGTTGGAAACAAAGGTTTGTAAATAAGTGGGGGAGAGGAGCTGAAAGGAGAGAGCTATGGAAAGAAAGGAGGAACCAAGACACACCCTGTGTAGCGGGGAAGTAGCTCAGCAGTGCAAGTGCATGCGGCCATGTGCAAAGTATGAAGTTTGATCCCCAGGATTAAAAAAGAAAAATCATGTGCAAATACAAATTCCCTGTGATGAATGTGATCATTATGCACATCTAATCTGTAGCAATAAGCTAATAACAAAATAAATATCATTAAAAAAAGAGCTACCTGGGACCAGGGAGACGGCTCAGTGGAATAAGAGCTTCCCTGGAAAGCACAAGGCTGTGAGTTCAATCCCCGGCTCTGCCAAAAAAAAAAAAAAAGAACTACCTGATAATATTTTGCTTTTGTTAGGGGTTTATGATAACCGTATAGCTCCTCTATTTTTCATGGAGTTGGGGGTACCAGGAATCAAATTCAGCACCTCACACTTGCCAGGCAGGCACAGTACCACTGGGCTACATCCTCACCCTGACTCCGTTCAGTACTGTTCAGTTTGAGTGGAAGTTTTCACAGATATGTGTTATCAGGCTGAGGAGTTTCCTTTATTTCTAATTTCCTGAAACTGAATACTGAATTGATCTTGGAATTTCTTGGATCAAAAGCATTTCTGCCTCTATTGAGATGATCACACGGAGAGTTATGCTTAGATTTCAATGGTAAGCCAGCTTTGAAATCTTAAGATGAACCCTCTAGTTATCCGGTGTCATCTTTTCTGTAGCTTGTTAGAATTCATTTGCTCAAAGTTGACTAAGAAGTGTTACACTTAAGCTGGTGAGACTATGACGGATCTGAAGTTTCCTTGCAATTTTTTTATTTTTGGTTTTATCAGGGTAATGCATAACTTATAGAATGAAAATATTCATTTTTCATCAGTTTTCTGAAGGAATGTATACAGGATTCTTTTACTTCTCTAGGAAATGTGGTAGAACCAAAACTTCCAGCAGAACAATCTGGGCCTAGAGATTTATATGAAAGCTGTTTTTTTCCTTACTTTTTGGAGCTGAGCGTTGAACACAGTGAATGTGATTTCTTTGATAAGTACAGGCTGGCTCAACATATTTCTTAAGTTAATTTTGGTATTATATGTTTGTAAGCAATGAGTCCAGTTCATATAAATTGCCAAATTTATGTAGATAGACTTGCTTCTGGCATTCCCTTCTTCCCTCACTTCTCAGTCTACGAGGCTTTTTTGTTTGTTTCTCATTCACTGGGGCTCAGGACTGAATGCAATGCCTTTTTTTTTT